AGCTCCTTGATGGAGCTACCTAGTTGAGATAAGCCTTCTCTATTGTAAAGTGCTGTTACCAAAAAAAACCCACTAGCCTTGTGGGGAAGAATTTCTGCTTCCTGTAGTATGATGTCTCCAAAGCAGGAAATTCAAACAGAAAATACAGAGAATATGGCAGTGAGAAAGGGTTTTCAGTGTGTTGAATTTTTTTTTTTTCCCCAATGCAAACCCTCTGCATGTGTGCACCATGTTTCCCCTTCAGGCATACGCTCGTATAGGGGGATTGTAGTTTTTAAACAAGTCACGTGGAGAAAAGTCGAAGCCAGGCATACATGGGCAAGAAGTGAGGCTTCCTGCCCTTCACTACAACCGCCCTTCACCTCCACCACTGTCAGTCCTGCTGCTGCTTCTGTGAGCCTGTTCTCAGCTGTAGGAATAATGTGGCAAGCGGAGTGTAGACACCAGGCTGTAGTGTAATGCAAATGGAGGCTATTGCTTTATTTTTAAGCCTCTTTGGTAAATGTTTTATTTTTGTACTTAGACAGTTGTCAGATTCTGCAATTTAAGCCACTCTGGTAAGTGTTTTATTTTTGTGCTTATACAGGTATCTAGATTCGCAGTCTAGTCTTGTGAAATAAATGAAAAAGATTTTGAGAATTTATTGAAAGTATTTTTCTGATTGTTCTGCCAAGATACTGTTTCTCTTTTCTTTTCTAATTCACTGCCCTCTTCAAGGCTTAAAACTGAAAATATATTCAGTGCTGAAAGAACTGTGAAGGATAAATGTAGAAGGGACATTTCCCCATAAGGATTCATCTCTCTACACGGTGTTCATGAGCATGACCTGCTTGTACATTTGGGTTTCAGCCATATCTCCCTGCATCTCACCAAGTGACACAGATGCTCACTGCCTCAACCACTGACATTTGCGGAGTGTGCATCATCCAGTTATTGCTTCATATCCCTCCAGACAGTCTTGATAAGCAGCTAATTAAAGTGTATGGCCTCTTCTGCACTCTTCCTTGGAGCTTCTGTTTCGTGAATGCAGCTCTCCAATGGCGACGTGTTTATTATGCCTCTGAATTTCACCGTGACTGACTTAGTTTCTCTCTGAGTAAACAGAAGAGGAAAGTCATAGAAAACTCATCAGAAGAAAAGATGCCTTTTCGCATGATGTTGTGCATCCTAACACTCTACACTTAAAGGAAAGTGGCCTGTAGCTTCTGTGTTAGGGTAAGTTTTCAGTCTTCCTCTGGAAGTAGTTACCCTGTTCCTCTGCCTCCTCCTTTCATCACAAGCAACCTCAATGAGTCTTTGGCTTTGCATATCAAGGCACAGATTCTGCTAACAAATATCATGCCAGATCTCTGAATTGCTTCCTCTGGAACTTAGAAAAATATGGAAATACGAGAATACAAGTGTGTTGATAGGTCAGCCTTCTGAAGATGGTTTAGCAAAGGCCCAGCCAGCCAATTTCTTATTAACAAGCTGTTCTGCTAGGACTTTATCTCTGGCCAGGAAACAGTATAATCAGTTGTAATCCAAGAAAACAGCTACATTAAACATCAAGCTTTACACTTCTGAGGCTTACTACATGCAAAGAATGAAAAACGTTACTAGAATATAAATGGCAATGCAATAATTTGCTGATGGAGGACTAGTGTATTTATGTAAGGAAATAGAATAGTTATTAGTTAGAAAATAGAGAGGAAAAGGAGGGAAGAAAGGAACCTTCATTTTTCAGTCAAATCCACTGGTATCCTCACAGTAATGGAGCAGCACAAAATTGTATCTGACTCCCTTTTGCAAATGCTTGTCTTGAGAGTCCTGCTGATATCAATGAAACATCATTACAGGATAAAGGGGGAGCTGAGGAGGACACAGCCCAGGCAAGGAGAAAAAGAGCTCAGTGGTGATCTAGGAAATGTGAAGAGGAAGAGGGAAGTGCTTAGAGCAGGTGATGCAGTGCTGTTCTGGCAGATAAAGAAATGTTAGGACCCTGAATGATAGCCCAAGAGACACTCAGTATTTTCAAAGCACTGTGACCAGATTCTCCCTTGCCATTACAATTATTTGGGTGTGTGGAAAAACAGATATAACATATTCTATGACCATGGTAGAATCTTATGTTTTGAATGAAAACCATGCAAGAAATGAGCATGAGCCAGAGTTTAATTTACATACAAGAATTTTTATTTTTAGAAACAGCCAATACATCACACCTTATTCAGCACAGGCAGAGACTCCAAAACCACTAGCCAGAATGGTCAATGGGAAGATGAACTCAGAAGCTACTGGAGCAGCTACTGTTAGAGAAGGAAGGAAACTGAGTGCTCGTTCTTTCCATGAGATGTTTTTTTTTTTTATATAGAAATACTGACTTACTAATGATGGACAATATCATTTGCTGGGTTCACAGAAGCATTGTTGCAATTATTGACTTACTAAGCAGTAGCTGCCAGATTGCTCACAACAGGTTATTTGGGGCTGACCATCCATTAGCCAGGATGACACAGAACATCAATGTTTGCGAATATGGTTTTGGAAGTGGATCCCTTTTTGTGTTTGAGGTGTTAACCATTTTGGCTGGTGCACCAAGGATCCCATGGATAGAGCCTTCTGAACATCTCTCATGAATAAAACTCAGTGTTGAGAAGTTCATTTTAAATTAAGAAGAGATGTATTACTAAAGCGCATTATAGAGAAAAAGACAAAAAAACAGAAACACAATACTTCAAGAACAACAGCTGAAACAAAGGAACACCATTACTTCTGCATCCCCCCCATGCTGCTGGTTTTACAGCGCTCACAGAAATCTTCACCAACATAGTGATGCATTTTAATGGGGACAGAGAAAAGCATTTTTAGGATTTTCTTTATGAGATCAGATACTTGGAATGAAACCAAGACACACTCTTTTGCAGGCTTGCATGCCCAAATCTAGACAAAACCCATATGAACAATGCCATAGAGATGTAAATCATACAACTTATGTAGCCTTGGATGATTTTTGTTTTCCCAAAGCTCTCAACAATGACCATTTTTTTACCCAATGAAGTTTATTTTAGTAATAACTACAGAGTTGAGCTAATACTGATTTTTTTTTCTGGTCATTACAGAAGTGTCCACAATGATGAACCAAGAATTCTTTCAAACTCTTTATCTCACCTTCTCTTTTAGAACACCTTCAATTCTTTTCATCAACACAAATATTCTCAAGGATCAGTTCTTTATCTCTTTAAAACTGGTAGGGATTTTCTACATTAATAAGTGCCTAACTCCCTTTGATTAGCGCTGTTTCTGCCCAGTATTCTTTTGAATCCACAAGGAAAAGCATGAGAACCTTTATTGATGATGCAGTTCACAGTGGAAAGAATATTTTAAAGAAGTCAGACACCATGGCAGGGAAGTTCTTCTCATGCACATTTTATTTTCATACTGAGCAATGTTTTTGTTTGTTCAAACCAGGATTTGTTTGTTTGTTTGTTACAGTTAATACCTGTCGCATAGCGACAGAAATGTTACTAATTTTTATATATATATATATATACACATATATATATATATGTAAGGCTCCTGGGTCTAGAAGCCTCTAATGAAAAAAATGCACATTCCTGATAAAAAACAATAAATAATGTCACTCTTTTTTTTACATTAAAAATATCTGTACATGATTACAATGTAGCAAAGTACAATTTTGTCTTTTTAGGCTCAGGTGGCATCTCAGGAATAGATCTTCATCTAAAAAGGGTAGATTTTTATAGTCTTGATTCTGCGTATTTCCCATTGCATGAAAATAGTTCTCCCAAAGTTGCTAAGTCTACAGCCTTGTCCACCGCTACCATGCAAAGCGGAGGATGCTCACAGGAACAGAGCAACATTTACATGCAGGAAGCAGCTAGAGACTGAGGTTTGTACATTCTGGTGCATACCCACAGGGGTATCTGAAAGTTGTGAAGCTTCTTCCCTCAGAGTTGGAAGAAAACAAGCAAATTAAAACATGGAAAACATTGTAGGAGTCCATCTCCCTAATGTAGCTAGAAAAGCTCTTTAGATGATTTTTCAAGATGGCACTTAGTGAACTGTTGCAGACTGACTGTCTCTTGACCAAACTTTCTGCTCAGTAAGAACGCCCCACGTTTGCTCTGTTGAGGACTATGTCGACAATCTGCTGGGCTTTGAGGGCTGCATCCAGTCACTGGCCTGCAAGGGGCAGAGGATGGCCACAGTCTTCTGGCAACTGAAGGAGCTCTTGCTGAGCTCTGTATTCCCTGTTGGCTGTGAAATGTCTCTGTAGGCCCCTCTTCAGCTTTTCAGCCCTATGAACTTCCACCAATGAGCTTGGCCAGGAAGCATGCATAATAAAAGCATTTACAAAGAAATCTCTGCAGGGTAAGATGAGTCAGTGGCTCACACTAACCTTTAACCGATAACAATAATCAAAAAGGCAAATATTTCCTCTTTATTATCTAAACGTAGTGTTATACTTCTCATAACAACATCCAGTTGCATGTGAGTAAGAACTTGAGCAGATAAAAGAGACATTTACTTTCATTTAATGTTAGGGCTTTGAGCCAGGACTAGAAATCTTAAAGGTGACAAAACTGGTGCCACCAGATAAAGAGGTGGTCACAATACTGGTGCCACCAGATAAAGAGGTGGTTTGTACAAAGATACCAGCTGAAAAGAAGTGGCTGAAGTCCCAGTGGTGGCTTCTACCTATGTTGTGTCTTTACACTGACAGAAATCTCCTCGTTCTGGAGAGCACAAGCAGCAAAGTACTGATGCTGTAATAAAGTCCAAACAGCCTTACAGAAGAGTCTTCTCAGCCGTCCTGCTCCTCATAAACCTTCCCAGGCTTCCATCGATCTACGCATGGATGGAGTTGGGCATTCATAGAGGTCAGTGCAGGAGGTGCCATGAAAGTGCAGATGAGAATGAAACTGTCCAGGAATACCTTAGGGATCCTGTTAGGAATCTATTCCTTCAGCTGGGTCATTCCTCTTCTAAGATCTTGATTAGAAACAGGACTCTTGGGATTCTGGGTCATTGTGGATGGGAAGCTTCTCATGTTCCTGATGATGACCATTATATAAAACAGAATACCTGGCAGTGGGAAAACATACATAAAGATTGATTAGCAGCAGTTAAAAAGTCAGACTTATCTAAAATGAGTTCTTGAAAACCCAGAATTACATCCTAAGAAGGTTCTAAATATCTAGATTCTACATTAATGAAAATGTGAGCCCCTAGTTTGCTCCATGTCAGGAAAACAAATACACAAATTGATTCGTTCAATATAATCCCTGAAAAACAAAAACCTGTTGTTTTTCATGTACCTAAGGTGCAGCTGATAACGACAGGAAATCCAATCAAGGAACTAAGAAGCACTGGTCATCTGTGGGTGGACTAAATTGAAAACACTTCAATTACTGTATTCGATGCAAGCATTTAGATAATTAATCACTTGAGACCAGCTTGCAAAATGAATGCTAATTATCATGAGACCAAGACCAGCATTTCAGCACATTTCCATTTACTAAAAATGTAGCCACTGTCTATTTTAGGGCTGGGTTTAGTGTCAATCCTTGTATGTCTTCTCAGATCAGTGCTCTCCAGGTTTAATGCCCTGTGGAGGTGTCTTCACACATGTATACTTTTCTGATGTTTTCGGGTTTTGGTCATAAATGAAAAAAGCAGAATTCAGTTATAATGAACTCCCCATTATCTGTTTTCCTGTACTTCTTCTACCAGCTCATTTCCTGTTGCCCATCTCAGCATGACTTTCTGAAGGGAATGGTTGATTTAATTTGCTGAGAACACCCAGATTTGTTCCTGTGCTATGAAGTGATGCACAATGCTTAGTAGGAATAAGCAGGTCTAAGGCGATAAGCAAAATTCCAGCTAACTGGAGTCAAAGTATTTTGCACATCTTTCCAACATTTCACGTGTAATCAACCTTGCTTGCAAAATCCCCGCAAGCCAAGTTCCCTCCCTTTGCAGTCCATTTCATTCGCATTAAAATTGAACTATCCTCTGAGTAGGGCCAGGAGTAGTAAGCTGCAAAACTAACTGGAACAAGACATTTTTTTCCTTAGCCAAATGCATCTCAGAGAAATCAGGTAAGAAAATAATGTCTGTAATAATACTTTCCTCTCTGGAGTCTTACACTGACTTAACTATATTATTTCCCTTCATATCAAACATCCAAAACATACCTAAAATATCAGCAAATCAACAAAGGTTATTTAAAAGCCTCTATCAGTTCTCCTACTTTTAGCAGAGGGGAAAGTAGTAGCTTGAACCTTAGGGTATGTTGGTATAATCATTTGGAAAAAAATATCAGGAGATCCTCCTATATATATTCAAAGATTATCTTTGACTGGATGCATATCTCTTCCCACTGAGTACACTTGGGATCCTAAAGTCATTGCTTATACTGTGCGGGATGTCTGTGGCAAATGATCTAAATATTCTACGGATGATCTATCCACTATTTCCAGTAGATCATGGATCAAAATGAAAGCTAGCATATAAGTTGCACTGCCTGTCTGCATTTATCCCAGCGAATATTCCTGGGGAAATTTGCTTTCCAGTGTACTAGGCGGTGTTTTTCGGCATTTTCAGGCACAGTTATCTTAACAGGGCTCACTATGTGCAGATATATCCATGGAATATCTTACCTCAGCACTCCATCACTTTAAATAATGATCATAAAGCTTTCTAAAAGTAGTAGTAGTCACACTAGTAGTACCAGTAAGATATAGATTCAAGACAAGAAACAATAAAAGGCATTTTGCATACAACACTGAACAGACACTCCGAGCAGATGACTATGAAGCATACAAGTTATATGGTAATTTTAATTTTATAGACCAAGTGAGACATGGGACATTTTGTGAGGTGATCTGTCAAGGAAACCTGTAGCAGGACAGTATGTCTGCTACAAATGGCAATGCAAAAGACCACTTGCTTGGAGAACAAGGCAGACACATTTCAGAGCAACTCACGGCTTGCTCAGAAGCAGCACAGACTGATTTCATAGAGGACACCCAGTCAGACCTTTCTTCTTCTCTTGTAATCAGAGAGCAGTTGTGCAAGATCAGCAATGTAGCAGGTGGTGCGTTTGTTACAAAGATGCATGGATGCTAAAGAGAAGTCCAGGAGATGTCCCCAAACCTCTCGTGGCAGAAAGCGTTTGTCTGCAGCCTCTAGCAGCTAGCACAGCACTTCCAGATCTTTACCTGCAGGGAGAGAGGACTGATAGGAGAGGAGGAAAGAGCAGAGGTATGTGGGGCTGAGCCTACATAGAGGGTGTGATGGGCATGCTTGGGCATGAGATTTCCAAGAATCTTATCAAGACCTCCAGGAAAGGAATCCTCCCCTGGCAGGATGTTGTGCTGCAGGTGATTAGTTTTCCCCAAGGTTCAAAGCAAGTTGTCAGTCACACGGTGGCAGTTCAGCGTCAGCTAAAGGACAGGATTATGAAAGTATGCTTTTTCGCATATCACTGCCTTAACTGATCTGCTCTTTGCAAATAAAATTAATTTTTCAGGCACCGGTATTGACAGGAAGAGCGCTCCCAGGTGAGCTTTACTTCAGGAACCCCAGTGCACTCCTGGCCATTCAGCTCATGCCCAGCCAGGCACGAGGCACAGCAGGATTCATCCTACCAGCCGCAAGCAGAAATCAGCACTTGTACCCTGAATGTGTGGGCTGAATGTGTCAAGGAGGTTTGAGTAGGGATACATCTGAGGAAGCCGTAATCTGTGAGCTGAAAAAAAAAAAGGCTTAAGCACATGAAATAAATTATCTGCAGCAAATGAGTTGTTCAGCCCTCCTCCTACAATGAGTTTTGCCAATCAGCTCAATTACAAATAGAGTCTGTTCTGTCTGTCCGTCTGCATTTTCCTCCTCCCAGGCCTGGGACAGGAGTGTTTCTGTCACTGCACTGGAGAGCATTACTCTGAGCATGAACAGCATCACCCAGGAATAACGTCCCATAAAGAATAGGCACTGCTGCCTATAAAGAGACCCTGCCACTATTCGTATTCTTGCCAAGTGGTATTTTAATTGTGCTGATGACCAGTTTGGAGATAATTGGTTCTCTATCTCATGCTGTTTCCGGCAGTCCAATGGGCTCTTTAATTAACTGGTTGAATTAGCTCTCAGCACAGCAGAGAGAAACTGTTTGGTTTTACCCTCAGGCCCATGACTAGGACAAGAAGGTCCAGCGTTATATCCTGTGAACTCAGCAAGAGCTGGGGAGAAAACACCATTGGGTTATAGGAGCAGTTTGTAGTCATCTGACTTTTGCTCCCTACTGTATCCCCCACACTAATTTGTACAATCCGTTAAGAAGCAAAGCCAAAAAATTGCTGGTCTTGGACTTCCCCAACTGTAACGCAGAACAGTCACCATTTCCGCTGAGCATGAGGTTCTGCTCAGCCCTCTCCTGACGCACAGCTCAGCTCTGTCACCATTTGGAGGTCCCCTGGCATTGCCTGTGCCTGCCAAACCGTGAGATGCAAAGACAGGATTCACTGCCTGGACAGATCTGCTTGGAAAACTGCTACGGCCACATGATGAAGCTGGCAGCATGTCAGCCGGGAGAATGAAGATGTGAAGGCAGAAATCATAGAATCATAGAATGCTTAAGGTTGGAAGGGACCTCTAGAGATCATCTAGTCGAAGCCCCCTGCACACTCAGGGTCACCTAGAGCACGTGGCACAGGACTGCGTCCAAGCGGGTTTGGAAGATCTCCAGAGAAGGAGACTCCACAACCTCTCTGGGCAGCCTATTCCAGGGCTCTATCACCCTCATTGTTAAGAATTTTTTCCTTAAGTTCCTGTGGAACTTTTGATGCTTCAGTTTGTGGCCTTTACCTCTAGTTCTGTAGGTGGCCACCAGTGAAAAGAGGCCAGCACCATCCTCCTCACTGCCTCCCTTGAGGTACTTCTAGACACTGCTCAGGTCCCCTCTCAGCCTTCTCTTCTCCAGCTGAACAGGCCCAGCTCCCTCAGCCTCTCCTCATAGGGCAGATGTTTCAGGCCCCTGATCATCCTCGTAGCCCTGCACTGGACTCTCTCCAGCAGCTCCACATCCCTCTTGTCCTGTGGAGCCCAGAACTGGACACAATACTCCAGGTGCGGCCTCACCAAGGCTGAGTCACCAGGTGAAGCCACATACTTCAGATGTGCCCTCACCAGGGCAGGATCACCTCCCTCGACCTGCTGGAGACACTGCTCTTAACGCACCCCAGGATCCCATTGGCCTTCTTGGCCACGACGCACCCTGCTGCCTCATGGTCACCTTGTCGTCCACCATGACACCCCAGGTCCTCTCTGCAGAGCTGCTCTCCAGAAGGTCGGTCCCCAGCCTGTCCTGGTGTCTGGGGTTATTCCTCCCTAAGTGCAAGACCTTGCACTTTGTTGAATTTCATAACATTTCTCACTGCCCAGTTATCCATACAAAAGAAATAATTCTGTAAAAATGTCAAAAAGGGAAATTTTCACTTAAAGGTTTTTTTTTTTTTTATGGGAAATCTCTTTTGTCAATTGCCTGCATTTTAAATCAATTATTTTAAATTAAATCTAGCATTAAATTTCAAAATAAAACAAATAATGATGTGTAACACTGATCAAGCAAAATGTTTCATTGCGCTCAGAAGGATTAATATTTGATTGAACTGATTTGAGCTTGCATAAGATTTCCATCCTATTTTTGCATCACTGGTAAACCAAAAATTATCCCAACAAGAAGCCACAAGAAGTGGAAAAAAATTTGAAGAGTTACAAACTCTCGTAGGATCTGTAAAGACCTCACTGTATGCAAATGCTGAACTCCTCAGCTTTTGTATAGACTCATTCAGTTTACAACTAGGAGGTTTCACAGAAGATTGGAGTAAAATTTTAATGGGAGAACAGAGTATCAGAGAAACATGCTGTTATGAAAACTTGCTTGCTAGGTCAAAAAATAATAAGCTTCAAAGTAAAACTAGAGTGGTGTAGAAAATGTTTTTCCCTTTGTTCAAAAGTTTTCAGAACTGCAAATCTTTTCCCTGTTTCTGATCTAGAGCAGGTCTGCAATTCCTCATGATGGAAAA